TTCTATCTCCTATGCGGCCATTTTGCAAAAACGTTATGGTCAAGAAGGTGATCAAACGGTAAATGGCATAGACTGCTGTGAACAGATCATCCCAATGACTTCATCGTCAAGAAAAGCAAGTTCGGTTGAAAATCCAAAACAGAGATTTTACGATTTTCCAGCAGTTCTGTAGTAGTTGCATATATGCTTAGCAAGAGTAAAATGAATCGCTGGTATCAACAAAAATTCTTACGAGCGATAAAAAGTGAGATCGTGAACACGAAGGCTGCTGGTCGAAAGCACGGTATACAAATACCTGTACAAAGCGCCACAAATGCAAGAAATTGCGAGAAGAGAATGAAGAAAAGAATCGCTTTTTGCCATGCTGAAAATGCTTTCCACTTCAATCTGCATTCGTTGAAATGCATTACGAATTAGTTGCTAATTGAATAACAACGGTGGGACAAAAGTCATCACAGAACAAATGAAACAATCTTATTAATTCAATCACGACACAGCATTGAATGTAACTTCATGCGGCGTATATCGTAAATATAGTAAGATATTAATAAGTTCATATGAGCTGATGTTGAATACAACGATCAATGTTGATGGTGAGATGAGAAGATGAAATCTCAAAAGTTTCCAGTTCAACAAACCATAAAATCGATGATGTTCAGATTCTCCGGCAGCGCCATCTTCATCGATGTTATTCAGAGTTACTTCGATAACTTGCTCGGCACTGTGATCAAACTTGTACATGCAGTGCAATGGCTCCTCATCGTAGAACTCACCAACTGCAACAACGTGTTTCTCAGCACGAATACAGTCCCACCAGAGACCATGCTGAAATAACTCGCCGAATTCAATCTTCTGAACATTCGATATCTATTTGATGGAAACTATACAAATGTTTGATCATTAGTTTGATGGAAACTATACAAATGTTTGATCATTAGTTTGATGGAAACTATACAGATCTTGGAAGATAGTGAACAAAAAATGTTAACTTCAGATTTTTGGTGTGAAATCCAACCTAATCGTTACAAGTGCTAAGTTGGTTTCACTTAATCATACCACTACAAATGAACACTCATCATTTGAATAAACTTGCCTGATGTTCAGCACGAAATTCCCGAATGTCCACCACTTGCCATGCAGGTGAGAATACACCAGAAATTGTCAATCCTAGCCCGATAAGGATGAAAATAATGCACAGCGCCAGAAGCGCCTTTTGCACGACTGTACTCGTCATCCAAGCGCGATGACGACGGAGATTCAGAAGTCAGCAACCACCTTTGCTTGTCCTCTAAACGATACCAATTAGACGAGAATCAACTGACATGAGTGATTTAATGCAAATATCGTTTCCGTCTTCAGTGCAATGTTTTTCGCGGATCACGTACGTGCATAACAAACGGATGATACAACAAACGTCTTCTCATTGTAATAATATTAATACCTTATGGGTTTATTTAATCAGCAAATCAAACTCATTACGAGTTTATGCCTCTCTGTTATTACCAATATCACTAATATCACATTCTTCCTTCCTTGGCATTC